CAAGCCTCCTGACCACTACCTTCTCGAAAACCTTGATCACATGTGAGGTCAGGGTCACAGGTCTGTTATTTTGAGGTCTGTCCCTCAGGCCTCCCTTATGGATTGGCGTTATCTGTCCCATTTTGAGGCCCTCATGCAGGGATAATTCCCTCCGTCTTCGAGATTTTCCAGAGCCTTGTGAGCGGAGCCTTCAGTGCCCCAATACACTTCTTCGGCAGCACTGGCGGAATTCCATCCGGTCCTGGTGCTGAGAACGTCGCCTGTTCTTTGATACGTATTTCCATGTCTTCTGGTCCAAACTCAATTTTCTCCAACCCCCTTCCTCCTGCAGTTCCTGGAGAACTTCGATTTTTCCTGGAGAACTTCGATTTCATTCTCCTCCGTTGAGTAGCGGTTGTTACTGAACACTGATTCAAACTGTGATCCCATGCAGTAACTTAAACATGCCCTGGTCATCTCTGACAAGGACACCGTTATCTTTCAGCAGACCCACTGGCGTCTTTATTTTAGTCTTGGACTGAGCGTATTTAAGGAAATTCTTCGAGTTCTCTCTGATGACCTCAACTACTCGTTCCTCGGCAGCTAATTCTTCCGTCCTGAGCGAGTCCTGCAGCCTGCGTTCAGTTTCCTTGTGTAGCTCTACTATAGTCTCTATCTCATTAGATCAATAGCAGATTTAGCTATAGTTGTTTATTCAATCGTGTGCGTTTTCTCATGATGATTCGTCGATCTCCGGACTTTAAAGCCAGTTTTTCTTGGGGTATGACGCACACACACCTGTGCTAGTTTCTCACATGGCTTTGTGTAAATTTCCTATGCATTCTCTTCACGAAAACTCTTTTCTCTAATTCTGAATTCTAATTCTTTTCTTCAATTCTAATTCTCTTATCTAAGTTCATTCCAAATTGCCTCCCAGTCCGTTCTTCGATGGTGGAAGTTCAGTCCTGCCAGTCCTTCTTGATGTATATGCCTAAGATGGATTTCAAATCATTAGAGTGCAGAGCACACCCTGTCCATAAGGCCATTAGAGTGCAGAGCTCACACTGCCAATAAAATCACTTATAGAGTGCTGAGCTCAAGTTTCTATATACTCCTTGTCGAGAGGGTGAGCGATTTTTTTACTGTTACTGTTGATTGTTACCGATCACACGAGAGAACTGATTACTTATTGTGCGTTACCAATCAGACGAGGGAACTGATTACTTATTGTGAGTTACCAGTCAGACGAGGGAACTGATTACTTATTGTGAGTTACCAATCAGACGAGTATGCCCAGTACGCCTCTATTTAAATGCCCAGTACGCCTCTATTTAAATGCCCAGTACGCCTCTATTTACATGCCCAATAAGCTTATCAGATTTTCCTCTCATTCTGAGCTGTACAAAACTTTAGCCTACGCCCTTTTTCTGTGGATGGAATGATTAAATTTAACTTAAATAGTGATGCGAAGAAAACTTAAATCGGAATTGTGTTAGGTGAAGACCAAAAATCTTGAAAAAAAAATGAATTGCCCCGAGCTTCGTGTCAGCCATCCTGTAAAAAACACCAACTGACTTTTTAGAAATATTTAAACCAAAAAAATATATTAGGAGCTAAAACAAGCGGAATATTATGATTTTAAATTGAAGGTTATAATAATAGGTAAACTTGAATTTGAATGCAGTTTGATGACAAGGAGGGTTTTATTATTTGGTTGATAGAAGTTGTGACAGGGAGACAGTTATCAATAATGGAAACTGGCCTGAGCTACAAATTGGTGTAGATGAAGGTGCAGATGAAGTCTCACTCCATGGTGCAGATGAAGTCTGACTCCATGGTGCAGATGAAGTCTCACTCCATGGTGCAGATGAAGTCTCACTCCATGGTGCNGGGAACTGATTACTTATTGTGAGTTACCAATCAGACGAGGGAACTGATTACTTATTGTGAGTTACCAATCAGACGAGGGAACTGATTACTTATTGTGAGTTACCAATCAGACGAGGGAACTGATTACTTATTGTGAGTTACCAATCAGACGAGGGAACTGATTACTTATTGTGAGTTACCAATCAGACGAGGGAACTGATTACTTATTGTGAGTTACCAATCAGACGAGGGAACTGATTACTTATTGTGAGTTACCAATCAGACGAGGGAACTGATTACTTATTGTGAGTTACCAATCAGACGAGGGAACTGATTACTTATTGTGAGTTACCAATCAGACGAGGGAACTGATTACTTATTGTGAGTTACCAATCAGACGAGGGAACTGATTACTTATTGTGAGTTACCAATCAGACGAGGGAACTGATTACTTATTGTGAGTTACCAATCAGACGAGGGAACTGATTACTTATTGTGAGTTACCAATCAGACGAGGGAACTGATTACTTATTGTGAGTTACCAATCAGACGAGGGAACTGATTACTTATTGTGAGTTACCAATCAGACGAGGGAACTGATTACTTATTGTGAGTTACCAATCAGACGAGGGAACTGATTACTTATTGTGAGTTACCAATCAGACGAGGGAACTGATTACTTATTGTGAGTTACCAATCAGACGAGGGAACTGATTACTTATTGTGAGTTACCAATCAGACGAGGGAACTGATTACTTATTGTGAGTTACCAATCAGACGAGGGAACTGATTACTTATTGTGAGTTACCAATCAGACGAGGGAACTGATTACTTATTGTGAGTTACCAATCAGACGAGGGAACTGATTACTTATTGTGAGTTACCAGTCAGACGAGGGAACTGATTACTTATTGTGAGTTACCAATCAGACGAGGGAACTGATTACTTATTGTGAGTTACCAATCAGACGAGAGAACTGATTACTTATTGTGCGTTACCAATCAGACGAGGGAACTGATTAATTTTGCGTTCCCGATCAGACGAGGGGAATTTGAGGGGATGAGATGAAAGCAGAGGGGAAACGAAGGCTTCGTTGCCGCACCATTAGAGGGATTGTCGAGGCAACGCCCCATCACCATGACAGTCTCCCCTCTTGTGCCCTCAGCCCTTGGGGCGAGGGTCGTTCGTTTGTCCTCATTAAGCGAAGCGATGTTTACGCGAGAATTTCTTTCGGCTAATTAACGTACGACCAGTACGCATCTATTTACTTTCTCAATACGCCTCTATTTACATGCCCAGTACGCCTATATTTACATGCCCAGTACGCCTCTATTTACATGCCCAGTACGCCTCTATTTACATGCCCAGTACGCCTCTATTTACATGCCCAGTACGCCTCTATTTANTGCAGATGAAGTCTCACTCCATGGTGCAGATGAAGTCTCACTCCATGGTGCGGATGAAGTCTCACTCCATGGTGCAGATGAAGTCTCACTCCATGGTGCGGATGAAGTCTCACTCCATGGTGCAGATGAAGTCTCACTCCATGGTGCGGATGAAGTCTCACTCCATGGTGCAGATGAAGTCTCACTCCATGGTGCGGATGAAGTCTCACTCCATGGTGCAGATGAAGTCTCACTCCATGGTGCGGATGAAGTCTCACTCCATGGTGCAGATGAAGTCTCACTCCATGGTGCGGATGAAGTCTCACTCCATGGTGCAGATGAAGTCTCACTCCATGGTGCGGATGAAGTCTCACTCCATGGTGCAGATGAAGTCTCACTCCATGGTGCGGATGAAGTCTCACTCCATGGTGCAGATGAAGTCTCACTCCATGGTGCGGATGAAGTCTCACTCCATGGTGCAGATGAAGTCTCACTCCATGGTGCGGATGAAGTCTCACTCCATGGTGCAGATGAAGTCTCACTCCATGGTGCGGATGAAGTCTCACTCCATGGTGCAGATGAAGTCTCACTCCATGGTGCGGATGAAGTCTCACTCCATGGTGCAGATGAAGTCTCACTCCATGGTGCGGATGAAGTCTCACTCCATGGTGCAGATGAAGTCTCACTCCATGGTGCGGATGAAGTCTCACTCCATGGTGCAGATGAAGTCTCACTCCATGGTGCGGATGAAGTCTCACTCCATGGTGCAGATGAAGTCTCACTCCATGGTGCGGATGAAGTCTCACTCCATGGTGCAGATGAAGTCTCACTCCATGGTGCGGATGAAGTCTCACTCCATGGTGCAGATGAAGTCTCACTCCATGGTGCGGATGAAGTCTCACTCCATGGTGCAGATGAAGTCTCACTCCATGGTGCGGATGAAGTCTCACTCCATGGTGCAGATGAAGTCTCACTCCATGGTGCGGATGAAGTCTCACTCCATGGTGCGGATGAAGTCTCACTCCATGGTGCGGATGAAGTCTCACTCCATGGTGCGGATGAAGTGATAGACGAAGGAAAATATGGCGTCGTTCGCAGGCGGGCGGTCGCGGTACTTTGCTCCAATCCGAAGTTAGCTTTAATCTCCAAATTCAGATTGGGAGAAATGAGGAAGGCTGCCCACACAGAATTACAAGAGATGCTGTAATTGTAGCCGGCCAAATTAAATAATGAATGATTCAAACCTAAATTATAACAGTTTTCTAACCGGAATCATCTATTAAGATATAAAAATGTTCTATAGGAGCTCTCTTCCTCTCCTTCCGAGCGTACTCCTTCGTTTTCTCTTTTCTTCTTTTCTAATCCATCCCTTCATTTAACCCATCCCTCTCCCCCTCTCCCCTCACATCGTCTCCCTCGCTCAGCGTCACGCGCACAGCACTCACATGACTCACCACTCACGTGGTCAAGTTCTGTCTCATTACAAGTGTCATCACTGTCATGTATATGTTTGCTATGAGCACCACCCTAAGTAGTATCAATTATGATTAACTAGGGCAATTAGCAGTAACAATTACAGGTGTCAAGTAGCAGCGGACAAGGCCAGCGGCATAGAGCAGTTTCTAGTAGCAGTGATAGGCAGCAGTTTTTAGTAACAGTTGCAGTTACCATCAGTAGCAGTGACAGTTACCATCAACAATCACCCACATCATCACCAAACCCACTCCTAACCAAACACCCCCTACAACCCCCCCCCCCTTTCCCCAGACTGGTCATCAGCCAGGGGGGGCGGGCGCTGCACATCGTGGCACGGCACCAGTTCCTCGACTCCCCGGAATGGTTCGGTGTATCATCCGACGAGTTCTTCCAGGTGACCATTACTACCATTCACCTACCATTGTTTATTAATTATCATTGATCGCTGTTTGCCGCTCATTACTATCATTCAAGTAGCATTGTCCATTAATTATATATCATTGATCATTGTTTACCGCTCAAGTGAACTCATAAACATAAATGGATCAGATTGTTGAAATATTACCACTATACTTGTATTACATAATTCTTGAAATTACACTATACTTGTAATACTCCCGACACGTGTGCTCAGATCGGACATAGCAAAGTGGGTCAGGATGGACCCACATAAAGGCTAAAAATGTATCACTATTTGGCTAAATCTCGCTAATTTTTCTGAGTATTGTAATCATCGACTTCAACATAATATTATATAAATCATTAATGTTATAATAAATCATCATCGTTAGTTTTGTTATCAACAGTTTTTAATGATATTCATTCGTTTTAGGTTGCCATTAATTTCAACGAAAATATGAATGAATTTAATTAGCACCATTGACTCGTATCAGGTTAGTTTTCAATATTTTCACTAGGATGAAAGTTATTCTGATAAGATGAAGTAATTTGAAGATAAATACAATCGATTTTATTTCACGCGCTGTAATGTTTGTTAAGGTGCAAGAAATTTAGTTGAGATGCAGTGATTGTGGTACCATGGTACCAGTCTCGTGTCCACCAGTCTCGTGTCCACCAGTCTCGTGTCCATCAGTCTCGTGTCCATCAGTCTCGTGTCCACCAGTCTCGTGTCCACCAGTCTCGTGTCCATCAGTCTCGTGTCCGCAGGTGTCCGCCACGGCCATCGAGGACTCGCGCGTGCTCATATGGCACAGGGACAAGCTCAAGTTGTCCATCAGCGGCGACGCGTTTCTCGTGTCCATCTTTGACCACATCCTTGGCCGCGATGTCGTCAAGAAGCTCATGCAGGTCTGTTGTCACCTTGGCAGCTTAGCTTGTAAGTTAGTCTTCTTGTCATTATTTTATCTTCTCAGGTTGTCTGCTAGTCATGTCATGTCTTCATCTTGTTATCTTGTCATATTGCTGTTTTCATGTGATTTCAGCATTTGTTCAGGTTGTTATCATGCCAGCTTGTCTTCTTGTAATCTGGTAATCTGTTCTCATTGCTCTCTTGTTATCCCGTCTTGTCATCTTGTATTGTTGTCAGCGAGCTGACAATTTTTCATGTAATTTTCGTTGCTAATTCTATATAACTTTATTTACGCCAATGTTATTATCCTGGAATTCATTCGTAACACTTTCAAAAAGCTGAAACATTTTTACGGAATTCTTATTGAACTAAAATACTATTTTTATCCCAGTATTTGAGTTATATTGTCGTCGCACGATATCGTTGATATCTTATTTATTGATGCAATTTTTTTTGTTTGAATTAATCTATTGACAATTCAATCTCACAGTAACATTGATGTGCACATCGTCATCTCATTCTAACTTTGGTGTCAATATTGTTACCTAACTATAATATTCATGCCTATATTAGTATCTCATTATAAGATTCATACTAAGCGAATATTTTACAAGAAAATGAAGGACAGTTGCTCTTTAATTTCAAGCATCCCTCACCTGAAAAATTCACGTCTATAAAATTCACTTTAGAGCCTCAAGCCAACCATTGTCTATCATTTGTCTATTGCAAGCGAAGAAACCAAATCAATTAAAGGCGGCTTTCAGACTGTCGCCTGCTCCGAAAATCAGCTTCTATTGGTTCGATCCTCAGCTTAGATAGCTTTTGTACATTTCATTTTATATTGACTGGGATTCATACATTCAAACACCATGGATAAAATTTGCTCTTCGTGCCACACAATAGTTCTGAGCTTGAAGTTTTGAATTTGCTGAATTAGTTTTGGTAACTCCTTATATTTAATAATAGTAAACTATATTATAAAAAAACATAACGAGCTGCTCTGAAGATCGATCATTGGAAAATTATCTATTGTTTACTGCCGTAAGTTCCCATTCATCTGAGTCTTGGTCTAAAGCATTAAAATATTTATATCATGAAATATTATCTAAATTAAACTCTCATGTATTATGGGTAAATAATTTTAACATTGTTGTAACTTACGCTAATAATTCATTAAAAAACAATCGTCCTATCCTCGTCCTTTCCAATTTATCAATACAGTTGTGCGCGATGCGCATCGGCGTATATATATTCGTCGCAATGCAACTTTCAGACAAAATAGGTTTAAATTTAGATGACCAATAAATGATATCGATTTGTGTAAACAGTCTACGAATTGATTGTCATTTTATTCTTCACTTATGAACTGATGATGAATCTGTTCTGCGGAATATGTTCATTAAAAATATTGTGAATTTTCTCGTAATTTTTTTGTTTATCAATTCATGATCATCAACATAATTGAGACAGGTCACTGTACAAAAGAACAATGGCTAACTCATACCAAAAAGCTGAACAAAGTCCTGGCCAGTCTTTGATAAAGGAAAACAAAGGCTATGCCAGACTCTCATGGAGAATAAAGGTTTATGAGATAAAGTCGAACCTAGTTTCTGTGGGAATACGATACTGCGAGTGCGATAAGGATTCAATGGTTATGAAATATATGGGCACATTTTTATTTATTACCTAGAGATTTGAAGTCTTTATACTAATTGTTGGAACATGAGAAATAATTCGGAATCCAAAATAAATTTAGTTGTTGCTTATCGAGTTAACAATTTCGAATTTTCGTAATTCTATTCTGAATTTTATCATTCATAATTATCCATATCATTCATGATACATATTTATAAATTGTTTATCAAAGGATGCTTACCTTTTGTTGCTTCTTATTATTGTTTCTCAAGTGCCATTAATCATATTTTGTTAATATTTTTGATAGCTAAAATTTTTAAGTTGTTTTCATGCATATTTTTACAATGTTTTGCTAGTCAGGGGTTACGAAAAAGAGAGGACTATTGACCTTTTTACTACCTACTTGTTTTATAAAACTTAAAGTACATTTTTTCATGCACTAGTGTTCGTAATCATGTAGTTTGTGAAAGGCAAGATTCAAATTAATGGGCTTAGGCTTTATTAATATACAGTAATTACATATATTAGCGATTAGTTTTCAGCAGCATCTGTTGAGGCCAACATATTTCCATTCCATTTTTGATCGGCCTAACGTTAATGATTCCTACATCAATACTGGAATTTATATTAAAATAAAATGTGGTCCCCATAACGAAATGTAATTGTCATTTTGCTGACCCTAGTGACCTCCCCTCGCAGGGTAGGCCTCCTAGGATATTGCCCCTCCCAGGTAGGCCTTAGTTTCCCCTCGGGCCCCTCAGCTCCCCTCGAGGAGAGATGACGTTTTCGAGTGGCCGATGCTTTTATTTCAATTTTGAAGATTTCATTTACAAATATATGGTCAAAATAAAGTTTGTGTTTAATTCAATGCCAAAAATGTTAATTTTAATTGTCATAATTTGGTGAAAGTAAATACAGGACTTATGTAAAATCTGTTACAAAAATCATGGTATTCAGTCATAGTGAATTTTGGTATAGTTATTTTGGTAATAATTTTATTTGTTTAAAATGCGCAGCATTTGCAAAAGATACAATTCGAAATCTTGACTTTGCCTGAGCTTATTTATTATAATTTATTCATTACGAAATTAATTTCAATTAAGTGTACCACTCCCCTAATATATATAAATAACTAAATATAATAAAGTGTCTTAAGGGGAGCTGGGTCGGCCAAGCTGATGCTTCATCTTGACCAGGGCCATACCTTAAAAAAAGTTAAGAGATCGTAAGTTCATCAGCCTATCATTGACGGCCTTTCAATCAAAATCCATTAATCATAGACAAGAAAATAGAGCATAAGTACTTACGTTCACTTAGCGAGTTTTGAAAGCATGGCCCCTAAGCTTTAGTGTGCAGTGCCTCACGCTTGTCTGTGGTCACCTCAACTTTATTTATCGCTTCGTCCCATACATTACGACCCCATATGATAGCCTTAACATTGCTGAGAAAAATGGATGGTTCATATTGTCCAGATAGTGACACGCCTTCAACACGCAGCACTTATACGCCCAATCAGGGTCCGGATGACCCACACAGAGGCCAAAAGTGAGTCGTTATTTGGACAAAATCTCATACATTTCTCTGAGTTCTCCTGGTGCCTGCTTCATGACTGCGGTCGCATGTCACCTGCAGCAGCAGCAGGTGTAATGTGATTGCTTTTTAGCGAATTTTCTCATTTATGAAAAAAAATAACTCAGTACTCACTGCAGTGAGTGACAGAGAGCGCATTTTCTCGTCGACGAAAACGTGAAGTCACGGACGGACAGACAGACGGACGGACAGACATGACGAGCACAATAGTTCATTTTTTCCATAAATGAGAAAATGCGCTCAAAAGGCGCTATTGTGCTCGTCATGTCCGTCCGTCTGTCTGTCTGTCCGTCCGTGACTTCACGTTTTCGTCGACGAGAAAATGCGCTCTCTGTCACTCACTGCAGAGAGTACTGAGTTATATTTTTTCTTATATTGCTCACCCTTCACTAAAGTCCCGCCGTGGTAGGTTTGGTCGGCGTGTAGGCAGCATTTTATTTTTTCCGCAATTTTACGACTTTCTTCCAAGAGCAAACTTGCGTATTTTGAATCCACTCTTTAAATACTAAGATATTTTAGGTAAAAGTAACACATTTAATTACCTTTTTTCACATCAAGTATTCAAGAATGTATATTTATTGATCGAACTTCTACTTTTTAAGTATAGTAAAATGAAGCTTTCATTTTTATTTAATATTCTTTAAATTTCTTCGAGCGTGCAGGGTTAGTATCGTTCAGACATTAATTTAACAAATTATGCTTCAAATATTGACGAATTGTAATTAGTTATTATGTATATTTTTAATAGGAGATTTATTGGTGATATATGGAATTATATATTTCTATGTTTATGCCGCGAAAACGTAACGCGTTTTCTAAGGATTTTTGAACCGCCCAGTGTCGTTCTAAATTATTGACCTATTATTATTTTTGCTTGAAAATTTCTTTAACGAATATGTTTTTCACAATAACTGTCTAAAATTCCAAGAATTTAAATGTAAATTTTCAAAATTTCAACTGTAGAATAACGATACTACAGCCAGAGACATTAATTGAAGGGGATTACTTTATTATGTATCCAATCACAGAAGTCTCCATTAATGACTGAGGGAAAAGTTAATGTAAGAAGTATAAGGGTTTTTGATGCAAAACTCCCATCTTTGAATGACTAGTAATATTTAATCGATATTCTATAAGCTTTTCTAGCCTAATCGATTGTATAGTAAATTAACAGGAGTTACAACCCCACCTAATCTACGACCTAATACGCTTGAATGGCTCGCCAATACCGTAATTAAACCAATGTAAAACCAACAAACACAATAGATGTATGTGTATTCACTATCACTCATCGAGTGATAGTGAAATCAATCCACTTGGAATATACAACGGATATTTAACACTGACGCCAAGTGAATTTCCTAGATGATGATTAATGGTGAATCTATTACATGATTAATTGTCTTTCTGAACAATCGTTGATGCATCTGGTATGAATAAGCGATCGTTGCTGCATCTGGTATGAATAAGCGATCGTTGCTGCATCTAGTATGAATAAGCGATCGTTGCTGCATCTAGTATGAATAAGCGATCGTTGCTTTACCTAGTATGATTAAGCGATCGTTGCTGCATCTAATATGGATAAATGATAGCTTACATATTTACTATTAATAAACGATCATTGATTGATCTTGTATTATATTAATCGATCGTTGATGGATCTAGCATGAATAAATGATCGTTGCCGAGTCATGACCGCTCGATCGGTATAAAGTTCTGCAAAGCATCGAAGTTAACTCATAACTCAACTGAACCGACTCATCTAGTCGCGCGGTCGCTAAATTTCCTAATTAGTGACGTATTCTATTTTCCTAATGAGCTACTGGAGGCTGTTGTCTTATCGTAGTATGCCGCTTCTCTTCCTATCTTCGCTATCTTCTTGTGAACAATAATTGTATTATTGACAGTGAGTGCCTTATGGGACCTTTACTTAAAACTTTATGATAGTATTTATGTGAATGATTCTTATATTTATGATTAGTGTTATATTGCTAATAACGATCATGACGGAAGCACAGCCTCATTAACGATTAAAGCTTTGGATTTTCCTTTGAAGAACTTTTTTTTATTTAATTCAAATTATTATTATTTAATAATTATAGGAGCAAATTTTCTATAATGCAACGGAGATCATCTCAGAATTGTGTACCGTCAACTGGGGTGACTTCGGCCAACGTATATGATTTTGTTTTGCGGCCATCTGTTTCTGTTGTAGTTGTGTTGTGTGATTGGAACAAAATGGTATCCAATGTAGTTTTTTTCTTATCTGTCGATTGGAAACTGTTTTGTTTCAATAATTTTATGTCCTGCTTGACCAACACAATCTGAATGCCACAGTACTGCAAAGAAGAAAAAAAAGCTGCGTGCAAAATTCAATATTTCGAGATACGGAAAGAATTTTGGAATCAGATTTGTTTCACTTATTTTGGTATCTTGTATGATGATTATATCAATGGCTATACGTTTTTTACCAAATGTAATGTATATGCTTGAAAAATTAGCTGGCCAAAGTCACCCCATAGTATATGGGCTAAATGGGGTGACTTCGGCCAGTCAATAAATGTTTAGAATAATAGATTTTTCTTCTCTTTTTCAGACAATATGCGCAGCTATAAACGTAAATTAGATTCTGTGCCATATAGGATATATTATGAGGAGTCGTTTAAGGAAGCATTTCAATTGATAAAAGATGGTGTTAGGCTGTTAGCTTAAGAGAAGCTGCTAATATTTGCAAAGTCCCTCGTTCAATTTTGAGCGACTGATGTGCTGGCCGTAATGCGAAAAAATTTAGGACAGTCTACTCTTTCACCTAGGGAGGAGTCAGATTTAGTATCCTACATTATTCTGCTTTCAGACTGGGGCTTCCCATTAGATGGTATGGATCTGCCTTTTATGGTTAAAAATTAGGTACCTTGACAAACAGGGTCGCACTTTACGTAAGTTCAAGGGTTGCACCTCTATCAAGCGTCATCGGTTTTTTGAAGAATGCTCGAGATCCCATGGGGACACGATTTTTTTCAAATTTTCACATCCAGCTGCCATTAAAATTGACAGAAAGCAGCCTTAATGAAGCATATGATTCACAAATGTGAGCTTTATCATTGTGTTACAATTTTTATAATTCACAGTGGCATTGATTATTCTTTTTTTAAAATACCCTACGTGGCCGATGTCACCCCGCTAATGGTTGAATTCGGCCACGAAATCATTTTACTACGTTTTTACTGTGTTTAACACATGTGGCCGAAGTCACCCCATCGCGGGGTGACATCGGCCACCCAGCTAATTAAAAAAAATTATTAAACGACAAAAGTGACATAATTTATACATGACATATTCAAAGAAGAACTTTTCAGTAATATATTTACAAATTTACAATCACCAGCAACGCCTCATTCCTATTTTGTAGGAATTTGATCGGCAGAAACTAGTGTAATTTGGCCGAAGTCACCCCGGCCAGTTGACGGTAATGATTTTTCTTCATTGTCTGGATTGCTTCTGAAAATAATAAAAATTCTCTTGCAATTGCAATAATTTTATAAAGGCACAATTTCTCTGCTAAAGTTTAGGATACTTCCGTCGATATTTACTGCCAAGAATATTGATAATTTGAGGTCATTTGAATAATTGAACGCTGCAATTCTAACGGTATGGTTCGATCGAAAATTGTCGATGGATTCAATGAAAAATTATAATTCAAATATTGCTTGTAGAATACTGTTGTAGAATTGTTGTACAGATTTTCTGTTGCTTTATGCATTACGCTTTAAATATAATAATAATTTATTGGTTATGCTAGATTTAAGCTGTCGAAGAATTTGTTACCAACAAAAAATAACCATGGTTTTAAAAAAGAGGAAATTTTGCCTTGTTTGTATTAATATTATTGATACTAATTTCCATCAAACTTTAGCTCAAATTTATACATTTTGAGAAATAAATTCCTTCTGCTGGTGCTTTTTAATTAATCAATTTTATATCCCTAAAATATTCCTCCATTTTTGCAACAACATTTTTTATTTTTTATATTATTTCCCGTTTCCCCATTGATTATGATTGATAAATCTTTGACGATTTTTGCTCAGCCCTCTTTGATATTATTGAACGCTCTCCAATGCTGTCCTTTTTCATGGATTTACATTTTTCATTCACTGCAATCATTATTCGATTTTAATCAAATTTTAGAGCTTCTATTGAAATTGTCTCTCTCAATTTAGGCACCCACGTAAAATTGACGCAATTTTAGCCTCAATTGCGAAGAAAGGTAAATTATGGTGAAATTTATTAAAATTATATGTTTTTATAAATCAACTGTTTGAATGCATTTTCTCGTTAAATCTACATAAATTTAAACAATTTACAATGTCTGAAAGCAATTCACTTTCATCTAATATTTTCATCGCCACTTTCATCGCGGGGATTTGCCATTTAATAATAACCGGCACTTAATCCCTCGTCACTGCGTACACTTAGCATCATAAATTAACAAAGTCAAGGATTATATGGATTTTATTTACATTATTCAGGTTGAATCATCTGATTTCAAGATAACATAAGACTTCGTTGACGTTTCTGAATACCAATCGTCGTTTCGTGTGTTTTTTACTATACGTTATGATCCCATTTTTCAAATAAGATGAAGTTATATATAATAATATCATCATCATGGTTATAATATAACATCATCATGGTATGATGATGTTATATTAGCACATCATCACGGTGTGATGATGTAACATCATAACCTCATCATACAAAATTTCAGAACATCTTCAAACTTCTCTCTATCACAACATCATCACAAACATCTTTATCTTGCCACGCATCCTCGCAGTGTACAGTGAGCATCATAATCTATTCATAAGCTGGCCGTCCCTTTATATACTCAAACCTATTTTCGCCTCGCGCGTTTTTGCGCTTAACAAACTGAGTATTATTAATATTTCTGGAATCTCATAATGCATCGCCACAATTTCCAGGTTGTACTCTTATTGCTTCACTGTTTTGTACTGCACTGTGAGGCAAGACTTTTTCCATCCTTCTTTTGACTGATGCAACCGCACATCTCAGTGATCTCACCCGCACCATCACCCGTTCTCACTTATCTCACCCACACCATCACCCGTTCTCACTTATCTCACCCATACCATCACCCGTTCTCACTTATCTCACCCATACCATCACCCGTTCTCGCTCATCTCACCCACACCATCACCCGTTCTCTCTCATCTCACCCACACCATCACCCGTTCTCACTCATCTCACCCACACCATCACCCGTTCTCACTCATCTCACCCACACCATCACCCGTTCTCGCTCATCTCACCCACACCATCACCCGTTCTCGCCCATCTCACCCACACCATCACCCGTTCTCGCCCATCTCACCCACACCATCACCCGTTCTCGCCCATCTCACCCACACCATCACCCGTTCTCACTCATTTCACCCACACAACCTGTACAGTTCTCCTCCCACACTCACACTCTTCGTCGCTTTGGTCACTCTTTCAATCTCTTTCATCTTAACGCTTTTGTCTCTTTCTTCCTGACCTGCTCTCTACAACGGCGCTCTCAGATAGCAGAGTTCCGCAGAGTAAGTCACTTGTCATGCTATTCTTATAGCTCTTACATAGGAGATTTAAGCGAGCTTAGATTATTTAAACTGTGTTCGGTTTTATATAATTTCCAGCGCATGAATTATTTCGTATGTTCAATGTTGGGTGTTTGTGTAGTATCGCCGTGATTATAAAGTAGCTTTTAATTTAGTCGTTAACAATTGCTTCAAATGTTTTCTTAGTTACAGTGAAGTATTTGTTAAGTAATAATTGTTAAAATTGCATGGTTGAGGGATTGGCTACCATGACAAACTAATGAAAATCACCGGAAAACCAGATTGAAGATAGCAACCTTGTCTATCTTTTAATTTGCATTATTAAGAAAGCAAAGTTGTACACGTTGCTCTAATTTTGATTTTTTTTTCTGTATGTGACGGTATCTGATGTCGTATGCCACGCTATTTTATGTTGTGTTTGCCTGTAGCCGCACTATCGAAATAGTCTGCGTCGGCTCTTTCAGCTAAACCCACCAATCACAGACGTGAAATCGGCCGCTACGTGTACTTAGTTTTGTCTGTACGGCTCTTTGTAGCATGATCAAGAAAACTGACCTTGGTCATAAATTCAATGATGATTACTTTAATTCAATTGCGACTTTGAATAGAATCTGGATGGTAATTGAAAGATGAAGTCACGTTTTCGTAAATATTGTTCACATTTCAAGACCCGGTAACAGAAGTTCTTAAATCTGAAACAATCAATTTATAATACACTTAATCAAATATTATTAATCCTCTGCCCTCGAGATCTTCAGATATCGAATCTTAACTGTGTTTACTGATGAAATCTAACTTTATTAAGAACAATAATTATTCACCTCATCCACCAGTACACTATCATTCACTTGTATTTTGCCTCATTACATTTACCTATTCACCTGCATTGCATGAAACTGAAATCAGGGATAATCAGTTAAGGAATAGCGGTATCTTGCGTCGCGCCTGCATGAGTAACTCGGGGAGCCGTTGTGCCGTAGGGGTGCGGTCCATGCGAGAAGGGGGCGCGGTCCATGCGAGAAGGGGGTGCGGTCCATGCGAGAAGGGGGCGCGGTCCATGCGAGAAGGGGGCGCTGCCATGCGAGAAGGGGGCGCGGTCCATGCGAGAAGGGGGCGCGGTCCATGCGAGAAGGGGGTGCGGTCCATGCGAGAAGGAGCAATCCACATGACTTGTTGGTTTGAAACCGACAGATTCGCATGAACTCGTAGTGTGCAGAGGTTACTATGGTTTTCACAGGCTGTTGTATTCTGCAATTGAGCAGCCCTATTAATTACTATTGTTAACGTTTTCAATTTGCGTCGGTTTGAAGATTTATTAGGTATTACCCGTTGTACTTATTCCACTTATTTAGTAAAAATGTATTACTACTTCTGCAATTAACTCCATCATCTATATTTTTATTATACTGCTAAGCGATTAAGTGAGTTTTCAGAATGAATTCCTTCTTTATTGCCTATAGATTACTCCTTTCGCTTAACTCGCGTACTGTACAACCCATAAATAAATCCAATTTATCGCTAGTAGTAGCTGGTAAATTCTATATATTATATTCATTTCATATTACGTGCAATATTAAAATGTTTCCCTCATCTCTAGTTAACTTCCTTAGCCCGTTAGACGCGATCATATTGCCCCGTTCGCTTCACATCTTCATCTTCATTTCCTCGCTCGTAACACAAGAGCGACCTTCAAATTACGCTTTTAATGCCGCTCTCTCCCCAGACTTTTTATGGATCAAACCGCCATTCCGGCCCTCAATTTCGTTCACCCTCAACCCCGTTTGCCCTCGTAGGTTTACCCTCTATAGTTCCCTCTAAATTGCTGGCATTGGTTGGATCAGTGGTTGTAATGGCAGCTTTTTTACGATGCTTGTATCCGTTCAATTTCTGCTTTAGTTTTTAAAATTATTCTAAGGCAAGTTTGTAAATTTACTAAATCATCATTGTATTTTCGGTAACTTTTCGATGCGTTTATTGTCCAGAGTAAATTAAATGTTAGGTGTATTTACCCAAGAGTTTCGTACATTTCTCACCTTGAAGCAAAACATTTGTGTCGATAAGATTTATTTTTGCACTTCACTAGTACATCTTTTTCGTCCTAATAATTTCTGGTAGTTGGATATAACTTTTATTTATGAGTCTAATTATTTGTCGATCAAGCTATAGTGCTCGTGCTGTTGTATACATGCAAATGCACACATGGATTGCTCCAGCACACACGTATGATTTTGCACGTTTATGTCGCAAATGCATATTACACGCTGATGTCACACACAAATATTGCACGTTAACGTCACAAATGTATATTGCACGTTCATTGCCCACATCTTGATATCCTTAGTGTGTGTTAAGGATGTAGCCGCCCCAGGTCACGCCATCGTACCGCCTCCATAGCCATTATCAGTATACCTCATGACAAATACGTGTATTTATTGCTGACTTGCGTGCTGATAATAATTTTTAAATTAGAGAACATAGCAAAATTACATTTTAGTGAATGTTGTAATTTATTTTGTAACTTATCAACGCCGTACTCGATGTTTTCATAGTATTAGTTATTGGTTTGTCGTTGAAAATTTATATTTCTATATTTCTCAGGTATTAATTTATTTACGAATAATTCTTGCCTGTTGATCGTTGTCAAATATGTTCTAACAAGCCATAATTAATGTAGTATTCTACAAAAATCTGATAGAAAATCAATTTTTTCAATATTTTGAAGATTTTCTATAACTTTATTAAACTATAATTAACTCCATTCTCCTTTCAAGTAGTCGTATACTTTTATTTCTCTTTATCGCTGATTTATTTACCTCTTTACAAATTATAGTTTAATTTCTTAACCTAATTTTAATGGTAATATTACACGTGTTTCTGTGGAGGTGAACGAGACCCTGACGAAGCATCAGCTCTCGAACGGACAGTGTGGGGCGTCAGCGGCAGCAGGAGTGGCAGCCAGCCCAGCCCTGCCCTGCCCCGACCCGGCTCTGCCAGGTGCGTCCTGCCCAGCCCTGCCCTGCCCCGACCCGGCTCTGCCAGGTGCGTCCTATCCAGCCCTGCCCTGACCCGACCCGGCTCTGCCAGGTGCGTCCTATCCTGCTCTGTCCTGCCCCGACCCGGCTCTGCCAGGTGCGTCCTATCCAGCCCTGCCCTGCCCCGACCCGGCTCTGCCAGGTGCGTCCTATCCTGCTCTGTCCTGCCCCGACCCGGCTCTGCCAGGTGCGTCCTGCCCAGCCCTGCCCTGTCCCGACCCTGCTCTGCCAGGTGCGCCCAACCCTGCCCTGCCCCGACCCGGCTCTGCCAGGTGCGTCCTGCCCAACCCTGCCCTGCCCCGACCCGGCTCTGCCAGGTGCGTCCTGCCCTGCTTTTATCCTTTTCCTTGTTGTAGCCCTTGCCCACACTGACTCCCATCCCCCAGCAGGAGCGGGAGCCACAAGTCCCCCGTGTGCCGCCCCCGCAGTCGCGGCGGAAGTCTTCAGCTCGAGCGGCTGCACGAGTGAGAGCAAACCCCTGCTGGGGGCGCCGCCCCCCGCCAGCGATGAGGGGGGCTCGGCCACCAGCATCGCCTCCATCCTCACGCGACAGATTGCTGGTCTGGCCTTAACTTTGATTTAATTTACTCTATTTACTCTACTTTAGTAATTATTAATAGTTCCTCGAGAAAAGAATAAGGTTAATTTGTTGAGGAACGAAGACCTCGGCATCGCCTTCATACCCACACGCCGAACACATTTTCTTTGATTATGTTATTACGCGGATTATTTCGTAAATTTTTTATTTACTACTTTGAGGATCTTAATTATTTTACACTCATGGATTAATATACAATTTCAAAATTATGTTCATTTATAATTCTGAATGTCATAAAATGTTCTAATATTTTTACTTCCTTGTTCCTATTTTTTGTTCTCTCATTCTGTTGCATTTGTAATCAAATGAATCTGACAATCATTGGCATTCACTACAATTATAAGTGATTGTCACAATTAGAGCTTAATTTTAATTTATCATTTATTTGACATCCATTTTAGTTATGTTAAGCCCTCAATTTTCATTCACCTCATACATGTTAAATATTGATTTATTACTATCTGTATATTTTTAACGTTTTTTCTTCCCTCTTCTCCCATTTTCTGTTTATATGCCTGTTATTTGCATTCATTCATTCCTCACTTTTATCATGTATCCCTTGCTTACCTTCTAAATTTATCTATTTACATTCACCTCCTATTATATCATTCAATTTTCTTATTTAACCTTCTATATTTTCATTTACATCGCCAGTATACTGCTCACTTATGACAAAACGATTATTTTTTTCTTTTATCTATTATTTTATTGTGCATTTATATTTTTACTATTTTATCCTCTATTATCATCTATAAATTATTTTATTTTATTACTATTTTCACCGGCAATTTAAGTTCTTTTGCATTGTTTTTACCTTATCTTACCCCACGTGATAAAGGACTAAGCCAGCGCTCACTGTCGCGGTGCTCGCTCTCAGACTCGGCCGACCCTGAGGAGCGTCTGATGCTCACGCGCCCACCCAGGTACTGGGGCACCAGTTGGGCGCTCACCCATCAGTTGGGGTACCCAGCAGTTGGGGTACCCAGCAGTTGGGGTACCCAGCAGTTGGGGGACTTTGGGGTACCCAGCAGTTGGAGTACCCATCAGTTGGGGGACCCATCAGTTGGGATACCCAGCAGTTGGGGTACCCTGCAGTTGGGGTACCCAGCAGTTGTGGGGTTTTTGGTTGACTAAAATGCTGCATTATCCGCATTACAAAATACCGAAAGTCCCCATCAGTTAGGACAATGTAAGCTCTCGAGTATTTTGCATTGGGGAATAACTAAATGAAACAATCATCTCCCAGAATAGAACGATGAGCTGCATCGCTGCAGTTGATCATGGACATGTAAGTGGCATGCTGCGTTCCACTACCGTGCATATCAGAGCTGTTAATATCAACTTAATTTGATGCAGCTTTAATTATATTTGTTATATCATTATATTATCAAAATACACATAAATATTTTAAAGATATTTATTTGCTTAAATATTCAGTTATTGCATCTGTATATTCATTTCATTCGGTTTCATACAGCCGTACACTTCACTAATACAGCCGTACACTTCTCTAGTACAGCCGTACACTTCACTAATACAGCCGTACACTCCACTAATACAGCCGTACACTTCATTAATACAGCCGTACACTTCACTAATATAGCCGTACACTTCACTAATACAGCCGTACACTCCACTAATACAGCCGTACACTTCATTAATACAGCCGTACACTTCACTAATATAGCCGTACACTCTACTAATACAGCCGTACACTTCACTAGTACAGCCGTACACTCCACTAATACAGCCGTACACTCCACTAATACAGCCGTACACTTCACTAATACAGCCGTACGTTGCAGCTGTGAGTGAGAGCGCGTCGTGGCGCCTGGGCAAGATAGACGAGCACGAGCAAGAGACGCCCGTGTGACGGCCGCCCAAAGCGCGGCCAAAAATCGCTCTTAACGTACAAGCCCATCACGCACGCTCGTGAAACGTGGGCGTGCGTGCAATAGACGACTTTTTCATACGAACGGCCATGAGGTTCCATGGTGGGTGTTCGTGAGATATGAAAGTTTTTCATGATACAAGAACGAAACAACCTCGCAGACTTCCATTCTATGATGGAAGATGATACAAAGGCCGCCGGGTTACCGCCTTTGTCTGGCTGCTGTTCTTGTCATCTTGTCCTGGAAGAAACGCCTGCTATTTTACATCGTTGAACTGTTCCTTGCTGAAGTGTGAACACTTGTGTTATCGTTCCAGTGGCAGTAATATCAAAAATACTTGCGAGTTCGTAACTCTGTCTGGCGATTCAACTTCAACCATCCAAACAAAGACGAGTACTTAAGTGAGTTCTGATAGCTCGGCCCCAAAATATTTATAACTTGTGATGAGAATTTGTGGATGTGATCTTTCAAATTGACCACCGAGGAAACAATAGAAACTAAATACAGCTTGATTGGGGTAGTCCCAAAAAGAAATTTGTCGCCATGTGTGTTGTTTAGGGACAGTTTCGGTCGATAACTGACAACACGAGCTCGTCGATAGCTGATAACTGTGCTGTGTTATCATTGTCAAATTGTACGACTTTGCTGCGGTTGCTAACAAGTGAGTTTATTGCTTTAGACTTATAACTCGACTGCGTGCGGTCAATTCCTGTCATTCAATCAGCAAACGTGGAGTTGTATGGTAATGGACTCAGCCTAGGCCATTTTAATGTTTAAATTAAAATATTAAAATAAAATTAAAATTGAAAATATTTAAAAAATATTAAAATGACCTAGGTTCATAGAGAGTCGACGGCTGGCAGGTCTTGCGACTTTTATACGAATCTTCCTTCGAGATGCCTAGGGTCATTTTAATGTTTCTATTCCGAATATTTGTGACGTCGCGATCCTTGTGCAACTCTACAGCCCTCGCTTTTATAAGCCTTCTCTCGTATTATATTAGGGTAGTCAATTTATGCGGTTTTGAATTTCCAAATGCCTTCATCTGGCTATTAAGATTTACGAATCATCTTGAATCCCATAACAGCAGATAAAATATATCAGGAAAAATGTTTGTCAGCCTTTAGGCTCGACTCCTTTGAACATAAAGAGTTAACTCACAACGCGGGGTAATGTATTAACCTCGTTAGGTTTTGCTTATTTTCACTCGCTTTCCACTTGTTTCTCCCGCCCACCAATAAATAATAAAAGATCTAACATTACCCAGACTCACAAAATGGATGCTCTAAGATGAGGAGATCGATAAAATTAGTACGACAGCAACGTTGCTTTAAATACCATATACCGACGACTAGCTTATTACTTCATATTCATAACCTCTTCGAACAAATAGCTTCTGCAAATAAAATAATAACAAAGCACTTACGCATGAAAGCTAATTGTCCGCAAAATATTTGATATCAAAAGCTGTTAATTTGCTATAATTGGGTTGACATCAGCAGTTGTGCAGAGTTATGAAGATAGAAATCGTAAAGTGACTAAACTTGACTCATCAATCCTTATTAGTTGCTTTGGTGTCTCGAACATTATTTATTTGGACTTTTATACTCCTGTAATTATTACTCAAAGTATTAAAATTAAATTACCAGTTTTCTAACAAATATCCTCGGATAATATTAGACAAGAAAAATCCTCATTCCAAGAACAATGCAATCCAAGAAATCCTCAACATTAAATATCAACAATATAGAGCGATAGAAGGAATAACTGCAACTGCGATGCCTTGTCCTTTCTCGCATCAAGCTTTCCTCTCAATAATAAATGTCATTGCTTCAACTATTGAGTTTACAGAGATCATCAATTAACGTCATCCAGATGCAGATAATAAATATTATTGTGATACTTGAATTTCCAAGTACTTAATTTCATATTGCTTGCCAGATATCGATGTAATTCACGACGCTTTTGTCCATTCTGTCTGTTGATGAACTGTGAAAGTCCCAGCGATATATATTGTACCAGTAATAAGAAGGCCTTTGTATTATAAGTTATCTGCACGTTTTGTGTGTGGACTTACCAGCCTCGATGGACTTGAAATCCCGGAAAAGTCATTTGTTTATAATTATTTCTCGATTTGTTCAACTGAAAGCAAGAGAAATTATAATCAAATACTTTAGCTCTACGCAACGAGAAATGTAATAATGCTTGACTCTTAATGATGCCGGTAAGCATTAACAAATTGTGTTATAATAATAAAGCAATGAGGTTATTAAATGTTACTCGATAGTCCCCAGGATGTGAGGAAGAATTGCTTGCCGACAAGAAGGTTTTGGTTTAGTGTCACAGAAAACATGGCTCCCAACTTATCTTTACTGGCGGTACGTGTGACGTGGCTTTATTGTTCATGCATTGCTACCTGCATTGGAGCTCTTATTGAACTATCCGATGTTTCCTGAAGGAGTTGATGTCACTTGTTTGCTTAAATCGCAAATTAACTAAGAATTTAAAAGCAAAGAATAGTCCATAAAAATTCATATCATTATAGAAAACGTTTCGGAGACCAGCTCCATCGTCAGTTCTGGCGATGGAGCTGGTCCCCGAAACGTTTTCTGTAAAGATATGAATTTTTGTGGACTATTCTTTGCTTTCAAATTCTTCCTGAAGGAGTTGCCGTTTGATAAGAAGTCAAGTCAGTCGCTGCTCCAAGTGCAGATCTTAATAACTCTTTAATGATCTAGAAAATCTGTTAATTAATTGTTGCATGACGTGCAACTTCTGTTGTAGAAATGAATTAATGATAGCAGATTTTACCCTGATAGAAATATCTATTTAATTCCCATGTTATTAAACTAAACATTATATTTAATTTAAATTTAGATATGAGCAAAACGAAGATATCTTCGCTCACCTCTATTGTTCAATATCAAAGCTCCCTACGTACATTTATATGTGTCATTGGAAAAATATGTATGTTTAATGTACCTCCTGCGGCCTGCCTTACTTCAATAAGTTAATAATAGTCGCTGAAGCGTTATAGCATTATTATTATAGTCCTGGTAGATGCAGAAAAGTGCGTTCTTGCTCATTAATTTTTACATTAAAACTATTTCAAAGAAAAATTGTTATCGAATATGTCAATATTATGGATGTCTTTCCTGCTCAAAATTAACATTGTGCTCTACCGAATTTTTTTTGTAAAAAGTACGGTAATTCGAGGGATGCTTTGTCTCATAACTTGGCCATAGGTTAAAGAGGCTGAGACACCTTACCTGTCTCGGCATTAGGATATTTCTGATAATATTAGGCGACTTAGCCATGCCCAGGCTTGAATTTGTTATCGATTTGAATACAGATGTTTTCACTGTCGTCTATAATTCTGTAAGCATCCCTACGGTGAATGAGTAATCGCAGAAAGTTTATTAGATAACAAATGTTTTGTTACCTAATTTCAATTCGATATCTTTATTCAAACGTGTTCCTTTTTTATAAATTTGAGGACCTATCTAATAGATTGGGTCTCACAATTTTATCAATAATGTGCACTGTCGCACCATCATTAAGTCTCCCGCGCACCACTTGCCATGATTTGGTGGATCACCAATAGCCTCAAGAAGGCCGCAGGACTTGTAAATTTTCTATACCGAAGAGTACTAATGTTCAAAATAACCGTTAAGAAAATGGTCAGACCGACGTCCTAGTGACAGCGGATCGTGAAAATAGATCGTTTTGCCGTTTTTTTCAAAGATTGTACAGATTTCTAGTGTACAATTAAAAGCTGCCGTCCCGGCAGGTCTCTTAAATGCCGGAAGACCGTTTTACGGTGAATTTTCGAACAGTGAATGTGATAGAATAGAATAGAAGTGTCGGCGTTGAAGAAATAGGCCCATGGCCTGTTGCCGATTCTTGAACTTTTCGTGACTTGATTCACAAGGGATCCGGCCTTTGGAACCCGATCTTTCCATAACTGACGATTGATTGAGATAGCTGCTGGACTTATTGCCTGCTCCGTAATTTGCTAGGCATTTTAAGACTGAACATATGCTCCTGCATAGCTTCGTCTAGTCTGTTTTTGAAGATGTTCATACTCGGAGCTTCAACGATGCTATCAGGGAGGCTGTTCCACATGTCGGTGACTCGAAGCGAGAAGAAATGTTGTCGCATGGATGTGTTCCAACGCTGTTTTTTTAGTTTATAGCCGTGGCCCCTGGTGTTGGTTCTTGTTTCAACGCTGTTTTTTTAGTTTATAGCCGTGGCCCCTGGTGTTGGTTCTTGTTTCAAATTCTAATAATCCTTCTGGGACCTTGTATAAGCCATGAGGACCTATGGGACCTATGATGGAATATATTATATATATACCCATGCAACGATTCTCCATCAGCAGCTGTAACGGCACTTCAAAGCTGAAATCCCGTGACGCTGCGGTGGCTTATGAGATGCGGATTTCATCGAAGTATAGGCCATCACTTTTCCTTCCATGAACATCACGTGAACAATAGCAGAAAATTTACTATGAAGACCTACACAAATAATCCCAAATCCTTAATAGGGCAGCTCGTTGGAGCCCATTGCTGCATTTCCCTAAGGTCTACCTAGGAATAAATTTGCACTGTAGAAGGTTCGGCTCCAGTTGAATTGTCCAGCGGACGTTGAGCAATGACTTCTCTTGAGATGTGCGTCCACTTTATTTGAAAACGCCCATGACTTCTCTTTGCATGAAAACGTCCACTAGGTATTGAATTTATACTATTAATTAGTAGTAATCTTATACTATTCGTATAAGACAATACCCAAAATTTATACTTTCCACTATCAAAGAAAATATTGACTCTAATTTCACTGGCAAACTGGAGAGCACCTAAAGCTACGAAAACAAACAAATTTTTTGTAAGGTTTCTAATTAATTGCAATTCGTAGAAGGAAAGTTGGGCGAGATTCAATCCCTAGCTTGTAGGCAATGAACAGTTAACATGGATGATTAGGCTAACAGAATTTAAAATTAGGATGAACCATAAGCTCCCAGCATAAAGGCCGGAGAATATTAAGGGGAGCGTCTGGGTCAAAAACTAACTTTTTCATTTACAGACGGATTTCTTTGAAACTTGGTACACATATGTGAAACAAAAATCTAAGACTTTTTTGTTCGTGTCAATTTTCCAAAAAAATTGATAGAAAACGTGAAATTCATAGAAAACGGCAAAAAAGGGGGTCCTCAAGAAATCTATCTCCTCCTAGGATTTTCAAGCTACAACATTGAGAGACATATCATTCGATGCGTAAAGACCATATCTATAAAATTGCGCATACGTTTTTCGAAATTCTAATTTTTGTGGATGTGGGGTCATTTTTCGTAAAATTTTTTATTTTTCCCCCCTTCCCCCCCCCCCTTTTTGCCAAATATTTCTCAAACTATAACGGAATAACAAAAATCCATACGCAATTCTGTAGATCTCTCCTTTGCAAATCGAATGGTATATCTCTCAATGCTGTAGCTTGAAAACTGTAGGAGGAGATAGGTTTTCCGTGACAATAAGTGTGAATGTTGAGGAGAGCGCGACAAAGTCCCGCGCGCACCACAATATGCGCTCAATGTAGCATAGATTCCNAAAATATTCGCCGTATTAAAAAATTTTACTTACATAAAAGTTGCACCCAGGTGTCGGCTTGAAAACGTAATTGACAGAATTTGCCTATCTAATTCCAAAAAGAAATGGCAGATGTGTATAAGAGACAGGTTGTAGGATGATATATGTAGGAGGAGATAGATTTTCTAAAGTACCCCTTTTTTAGGCGTTTTCTATGAATTTCACGTTTTCTATCAATTTTTTCGAAAAATTTATACGAGCAAATTGTTTTTTATTTTACATTTTACGTATGAATACGAAATTTCAGCAAGATTGGATGATAAATGTAGAAGTTAGAGGGTAGCCGGTCTGGAGGGTAGCCGGTCCCCTTAAGCACAGCAGAATTGTAGCAGTGAGTTGCGAGTTCGAGACCGCAACAAGCTGTGAATGTTCTGCGATGTTAAGAATTGGCGACAGGCCTACGGCCTAATAACGCTGAAACCGCTATTATTATAAAACTCTTCCTAAAAATAAAACAGCAAGTGCAAGCAACGAACAGTGAATTTGGAAGCACGTCTCTCCCAACAACAAGTCAGCAACGTTGTTCCGTTAGAGTTTAGTGCACCGTGGTTACGGCCGAGTGATTACGAGCACCGAGGTTACGGTCGAGTGGTTACGAGCACCGAGGTTACGGCCGAGTGGTTACGAGCACCGAGGTTACGGCCGAGTGGTTAAGAGCATTGGAATTCTGGAAATTTTGGTTGATATCGGCGAATTAGGCAGATGATACAGAACAGTAATTTGGTACCACTTTCAGACCCAGGTAGCTGTGAGAATTCTGTTATGTCTAACTACTGCTGCGTATCTGACATTACCTAATCATCAAGGCTGACAAATTGAATTGTTATGGTATATTTTATTTTAGAAACAAGGCAGTGATCATGTAAGGGTTTGTGCATTTGCTGGATTTTTCTCAGTTTTTGGGCGAGAATTGGAAAAACACAGGCAAAATTGTATATACTGCATATACGAACAAAATTTCAAGTGTAAATATACATACTTACAATGTTTTACATAATTTTTGGTGGAAATGATTCATACATTTATTTAGAAGTATGAATTTCATCCAGAATAATTTCCCTATTTCTGGCGATAACATTTCGGATTCACGGGTTGCTTCAATTTACTAAATGCCCTGATTTTTCCTTAGTAATTTTTCCTTTTCTTCGTACCTTACATAATATTCAAATTTTGCAGTTATAGTTATCGTAGTTCTAAGAGTATTTTAAGTATTCTAAATTAATTTCATCTGTAAAATACTGAGAACAACATTTTTAGGCTTACCTCGACGCCGTTTGACAACAACCGAGCGAACCATCTACTGGCAAGACTTTGTGCGTCGTAGGGTAATTCCCGCTTGTGGAGGCAAAATGTCTATTCAACATAGGGGACAGACCTTTTCTATTTCTACCAAAGCAGCCCCTTATGCTACGAACGAGGGAGCTTGTTTTGATACTAAAACTGGTCAATTTGTGACGACAGTTAATTCTCAACCAAACTATCTTCAAGCACCAGCCATCTCGTGGTACGATGCACAGCCATTTTGGTTGTTTTGCTTTGGATTATAGGCCTATTATAGTTCAATCTCTGTTTTCATAACAATAATGCTACGAGTAGGTATAATGATTAGAGTAAATGCTGCAAAATACTTTTAATTTTTATACTAATTGCTGATTTCAATACTGATTCTTTCAATCTCTTCATTTATGTAGTATTAGTATCTGTTGTTTGATTCCCTAATTTTTGTGTAGAGTAGCTAGAAATGATTAGCAGTCTACCTGACAATGCTGCCCTTTGAGTGCCCTACCATTACACCGTAGCATGGTGGCAGGGAATTATTGTGAGTACTTATGGGTTTGCAAGAGCATCGCCCGGTCCGGCTCAGCAGGGGGG